TCCCCGACCACTCTTAGAAAATCGCACTCCCTCCCCAAACCCAGCTCCCCTCCCCCCTTCTCTCCACACCACACCTTATGACCCTCTGACATGGGCATTTTAACCTCTTTCTTTGCCCCTGATGATTTGTCTTATTTAAAACATAAATCCCAAGAGACAGGGGTTCTGTCCCCTCCCTGCCAGGATTTGGATTGCCAGGGATGGACAGGCTCGTGGTGGTGGCTCAGGGCATGTCTCCTGATCAGGAAAGAGAAGAAAGCACAAATTCTTCAGCCAGTCGTCACCCACAATGCCGCTTTCTGTAGACGTTGGCTATCCTCAATTTCTATGATTGAACGTGCGTAACCGTGTCAGGAGTCCGTGTGCGGCCTCCGTCTTTGGGAAGGTGAACATTTCCCCAGCTCAGATGCACATGGCCCTCCATCCAGGTGGAGCTGCTTCTGCCTCCTCTCTGCCCGCAGCATGTTCTGTTCACCTCATCCCATCTGCAGAGACCCTTCTCCCCAAGAAGTCCCCTTCCCGAGGGTCCAGGAATGTTATGGGGACATTATTCAACCCAGGACTACATCCCGATTTCTGTGACGGTCAACTGTAAAATCAACTATAAAATCAATGTGCATTTTAGATTTGATGCAATCATACACATAATGTCTAGGTCACCTTCGTGCCAACCCACCGGGCATGTGCTTTTCCACTTTGCATGCACAGTAGTCACCCTGGGAGTGTGCACGAGATCCCGAAGCCTGACGGCCTGATTTAGGGAGTCCGGGCTGACACAGGTGCAGATCTGTGAACAACTGCTCCCCTGATCGCACCTGCGTGCTACTAAGGTCCATGGTTTTGCGAGCTAAGGGTCACCTTCCCCCGTCTGTTTCCCCACATCGCATCGTGGGACCCGAGCCTTGAGAAATGAGCCCAACTTGAGGGTAGCTCTCGTGAACCGTCAACCTGCCAACGTGTGAACCTTCTCAAACTCACCCATGTGTGTCTCAGGCATTTTCTCTAGAAGCGCGAGGGATTGGCGGGTGGAGCCTGGGGGACTCAGCCGTCCCTCCCGTGGGAGTTGTGCCACGAATTGTTCTCTCTGCCAACAGGTGGGTCTGCATCACTTCAATGTCCTTCGTGGCTGTCAGGCCGGCCTGGCGGTGTTCATTGTCTCGACACATTAATGCCTTTGTCTGTGCAATCGATTTTCACCACGTGAGCGGCTGTCCATGAGGGAAGCAGGGGGCTGCTCCCCCAGCTCCGCATGCTCAGGAAGTGGGGGAGGCACTGGGGTCTCCTGGTCTACCCCGCATGGGTGTGTTCTAGTCCCCCGTGGACGTGGGGACCCCAGGACACGGGCAGGTGGACCATGCTGCAGACAGAGCATCAGGCGGTGCTTTCTGATCAAGCCCGTTGGTGTGCTCATTGGAAGCCTGTTCCATTTTCTTGTTCGTAGGTTTCCATGGATGCTTTTCTCCTCAGCAATAGCCTTCATGGGGGAGGTGAGCCATGGGTGCGTGAAGGCAAGGGGTGTATCATAAATCGCTGAGTTTTCCCTTCACATTTCCTGGGAACCTCAAACTGTTGTTAAGAGAAAGTCTTGGGGCGCCCGTGTGGCTCAGTCGGTTGAGTGTCCAACTCTTGGTTTCGGCTCAGGTCATGATCTCAGGGTCACGAGATTGTGACATTGAGCCCCGTGTTGGGCCCCACAGTCAGTGGGGAGTCTGCTTGAAGATTCTCTCCTTCTGCCCCTCCCCCCAATATGCACACTCGTGCTCTCTCTCAAAATAAATAAATCCTTAAAAAAAATAAAGTCTTTCAAAAAATACCTTTATTGAGATACACTGCACTTACCATAACGTCCACCCATGAGAAGTGTACAATGCAACGTCTTTGGGTATAGTCACATGCATAACCATCACCACGCACAAACCTCAGAACATTTTTGCCTCCCCCCAAAAGAAACCCATTAGCTGGATTCGTTTTTGAACAACTCCTGTCCACGCAAATCCTTTTCTGCTTTCTGCCTGCGTGGTGGGAATTGCTTCTGTCAAGATGGCATCTTACTTCTTCTGGCAAGAAACGGGGACTGTTCAGGGGTTGGTGGGCCAATATGGATGCCATGCCAGTGGTTGGTGATGTACAAAGGGATAGACGCTGTCCATCTCCAGCCGCTCTAACATTAGAGTCCTTTGTTTACTCGTGTTCAGGACTCTGCTTCTGAAAGGGGAGGACGTGAGAACTGACCTTGAATTTTAGGCATTAGTCTTCAGCCCTTCTCAGCCCTCAATCTCATTAGTAAAGTAATCGCCTTAACGGAAGATCCCGGGGAGATCCTACCCGCTGGGATGGGGTGATCTGTCTGAGAAGGGCTACTTGCACTTTAATCAAACAAATGCAAGTGGTGGCAGGTCGTTTTGTCCCTCCTGTGAGCCCCCTCCCGCACCCAAGGGTCGTTCACCATCTTACCTCCAGCTTCTGTGTAAGCACATCTCAGGCTCTGTCGTACGGCATGTCACCCACCCAACCACAGGACCAAGCCCAGCTTCTTGCCACGATGGCATTGAGCGCACCCTTGGAGCCTTCCCTGCACCCCCAGACAGGCAATGCTGCCCCCCAGATGGGGCATGGGCGAGGCGTGGTAAGCTGATGCTGAGCTCAGGATTACAGGGGTGTGGGGAGGAGGAAGGCTGAGGCCGCAGGACAGCCTCTAGATGCCATCTGGGCTTTGCTTGTAAAGTCAAGCATCAGAAAAGTCACGAGAGACACATGAGGCACATTCCAGGTAGTGCCGGGCCATGGCTCAGGGCAAAGAAGAGGCAGGACAAACAAAAACTGAAAATGAGTTGATGAGAGTAGATTCAGATATATGATCTTTTAATATAAATATCAAATGGTTTCACATGGCTTATCAAGTAAATTGTGCAATATTCACTTTTTGGAAGACTGTCTTTATGTCTCCAAAACAAAGCCAGTTGGACTGGAACTTCAAATCTATTAAACCATAGGACAGGTACCCAGCCAAGCTGTAGCAGAATGCGGGCATGTAATAAAAGCCAAAATAAATGAATAAGATACATAAGTAAATAAGTAAGTACATAAATATGTGAATAATCACAAGAGACATAGGTAGATCAAAGATTGCTGCAAGCCTACCCAATGTCAGTTTTCCTCCTCTCCCTCACTCTTCGAATTGGAAAGGAAGAAGCCGCATTTCAATTATATGTGGGCATTTTAATTACCCACACGGAAATCACAAGACACCTGGAAATTGTCGGCTTACTCATCGAGATTTCAGGACAGAGAATGGTGTACAAGAGTCCGCAGCGTCTCTACACATCAGCAGTGAGTCCTTAGGAGGCGTCCCAGTATAGACACCAGCATCCAGAAGAGCGGAGCAATGGCTCACATCCACTCAGGGAATCTCGTAGGGCCGGGCTGTCTGTTCAGGGTCATCTCCATCAGAATACCAGGGAGATTTTTCAGTGAACTAAAGTTGTCTCCCCCACCCCTCACCCGGCTCCCCTTGGTGCTGCCACCGTGCTTGCTGCCGCCAGGATGTCCCCCGGATGCACAGATGCCCCATGTCTCCAGCTGTCTGCATGAAGCCTCCTGAATTTACATCTTTGGCCTGGAAATCTTGGCTCTGGGATGATAATGTTCCCGGCACAAAATCGCTTGCTTTAATAGAGAACAGCCGCATGTGACTCCCAAGGGACAGTGCCTGGGTGGCACAGGGGCTCCTGTCGGGTGAGATCCGCGGGAAGGGGAGGTCTAGCTCGACGGTCCTGGAGGGAGGGGAGTGGGGACAGCCCGTTGCTCTTCTCTTCTCTCTCTCGGAGCCCATTGCCCGTGTGTGGGCTCCGCCGTCTGTCGTCTGAACTATTGCTGATGTCCCAAGCACAGACAGACAGCATGCAGAGGAGAAAAGGAATCACATGACCTTGTTTTAGAGGCCACTTTTGAGTGACACCCCTCACTAAAGTCCCTACCACACATTTTTAGCTGCGGCAAGACATGCGATTGAAAGTAATTTCAGAGTCCAAATCCATGGAATGGTTTTGGGGGCATTTGCTGGCTGTGGAAACAAAGAAGGACATGCCTTCAAACAGTGTTTTAAAGATCCTGAGCCCAGCTGATCTCACCCCCTGTCTACTGCGGGTTAAATGGTGGCCCCCCAAAAGATATGTCCATGTCCTAACCCCTGCAACCTCAGGCTGGGAACTCATTCAGAAATAGGGTGTTTGCAAATGTGAGTAAGTGAAGGATCTGAGATGAGCTCATCCTGGACGAGGGTGGCCCTAAATCCAATGACAGGTGTGCTTACAAGACACAGAAGAGGAGACACAGACACAGAGGAGAAGCCACATGAAGATGGGGGCAGAGATGGGAGGGATGCGGCCACCAGCCCAGGGATGCCTGGAGCCCAGAAGGTGGAAAAGGCAGGAAGGACCCTCCCCAGGAACCTCAGAAGAGAGCATAGATCTGCCCCACCTGGATCTCAGCAGCCCTGCCCCACCTGGATCTCAGACTTCTGGTCTCCAGAGCTGGGACAGGATAATTCCCTTGGTTTTAGGCATATGGGTTTTGTTATGGCAGCCCTAAAAGATTAATTATACCCTCTTTGTCTCCCCATGTAAAGGGGACTAGAGACTCTTCAATACATGAAATGAGTAATCGATGCTAGTGATTAGCAAGCATATTGGTTTTGGATGCGTTCCATAGCTGATGGTGTAAGGGAGGGAGGTGAGAGATGCAGGCTATTTTAGGGCTGTGTGCACAGCAGGGACAGAAGGAGCAAGCAGAAAGCCAGCGAGTACCCTTAAGCTTTGTCATCCCCTTAATAGGGCTAATAGGATTTTCTACAGTGATCAGCCTTTGGCTTACCCTGGGCCTCCAGCAAGGAGCTCTGGCAGCACCGAGTGGCTGGCCGCCGCACCACTTGCTAACAGACCCACACTCCCTGCAGCTGGGACAACCAGGGGCTCTCAAGGCCAGCCTGGCGTGGGACAAAGATGACTTCCCCCGAGGAACAGGCGTACCGTCTGCTGACCGAGTACTCAAATGGGTTCATGGTCTCCCAGGTAGGAGCATGGGGAGAATATTCCACAGAGCATTCTTGGATGCCGTTGGTGGGAGCTGGGCGAGGGCAATGGGGAGTGACAGCTTAATGGGTACAGAGGGTCCCTTAGGGGTGGGATGTCCTGGAACTATGGGCAGGTGTCCGGGCAGAGGCTTGGCCCCTGGGGTGTGGGGCAACGTTTATCAAAAGACAGGGATCGAAATACTGAAAACATTTTGTGATAGGGCAATATAGGGGCTCGTCCATTAACACACTAAAAAGCACGGTGATGCATTTAAACTAGAGGTGCGTCTGCGGGTCCGTCCATAATGTAGCACGCATCAATATCTCATCCCTTCCTCTGACTGAGTACATATTATCCTGGGTGGAAATGGGAGACACAGAGACCAGGTGGTGTGTGATTCCATTTATATGAAACATTCAGAATATGCAAATCCATAGAAACAGAAAACAGAGTGGTGGTCGCCGGGCACTGGAGAGGGACTGCCAGTGGGGATGGGCTCTCCTTTTGGGGGGATGAGAATGTTCTGGAATCAGAGAGCGCTGGTTGCACAACGCAGTGAACGTGCCAAATGCCCCTGAGTTATTTCGTTTACAGTGGTTAATGCCGAATCTCCTGCTATGCGAATTTTAGTTCCATAAAAGAGTAGAGGCAAGTTATAATTAGATTTTATATATATGTATTTTGTATATTCCTTCATTTCTTTTGTTAAATTTTTTTCAAAATTTTTTATTTAAATTCAAGTTAGTTAACATAGAGTGTATTATTAGTTTCAGGGATAGAATTTAATGATTCATCCGTTGCATATCACACTCAGTGCTAATTATATCACGTGACCTCCTTCATGCCCATCACCCGGTTACCCCATTCCCCACCCACCTCCCCTCCAGCAAACCTCAGTTGTTTCCTAGAGTTAACAGTCGCTTGTGGTTTGTCTCCCTCTCTGACTTCACCTTATTTTATTTTTCCTTCCCTTCCCTTATCTGTTTTGTTTCTTAAATTCCACACATGAGTGAAATCATACAGTATTTGTCTTTTTCTGACTGACTTACTTCACTTAGCATAATACCCTCTAGTTCCATCCACCTCATTGCAAATGGTGGGTATTCATCCTTTCTGATGGCTAAGTAGTAGTCCATTGTATATATGGACCACATCTTCTTTATCCATTCATCTGTTGAAGGGCATCTCGGCTCCTTCCACAGTTTGGCTATTGTGGGCATTGCTGCTATGAACATTGGGGTGCAGGTGCCCCTTCGGATCCCTACATTTGTATTTTTGGGGTAAATGCCCAGTAGTGCAATTGCTGGTTCGTAGGGTAGCTCTATTTTTAATGTCTTGAGGAACCTCCATACTGTTTTCCAGAGTGGCTGCACCAGCTTGCATTAGATTTTATATTTTAAAGCTCCACCGGTGTCAGGGCTGTGGGATGAGGATCTTAGCAGTGGGGGGTGGTCTTTGGTGGGACGCACACATGCTGTGCTGGAAATCTCTGGGGTCCAGGCGCTGAACATGTCCATATGGACAGTTGTGTGGATGCAGAGGGCAGGAGAGCATTCAAAGCTCCCCGGCTTTTTGCAGTGAAACTCTAATTTTGAGAACACACAGCTTCACCAGGTAGTGGCTGAGCATCCACAAGGCGGAGAGATACCCAAGGACGGCAGTCGCTGGGGCGGAGGGTCTGGGGCTGCAAGATTGGGGGGATGTGTGCAGCCAGTCGAGTCCAAACTCGAAGGAAACCATGGTGCCGTGTGGGTGCTGGTTGTATTTCAAGTGCCCTGTGGCAGATATCGCGAGACACAAAGATGTCTTGGCTTCCCTCGGTCACTGACTCGCCGGTATTGTAATACTACAGTGCTTTGCGCTTGATTCATAATCGAAGAGGGTGCTGACTTTGGGTGGAGGTCACTGAATATTGAAGCAGAATGTCTTCCCCAACCGAGCTCACGGATCCCCCCAGATTCAGTCTGTAGACCCCCAAGGGTTAAGAATTCCTATTGTAGAGCCTTTGAGATACGGAAAAGGAGCATCCTTCTACAAAATAATCATCATAATTTGCTGTGTTTCTGTTGCTTGAAGATGTGACTTACTTGTGCTCACAAGATGTTTCCTGGCCAGCTGGGGCTGTTTGCTCCTCGCTCACACTGGTGTTGGGCGGGTTATAAATCTTGGGAGGAAAATCCCATTCAGTACACGTGATGATATGTTACCTAGTTGTCACGAGTTTAATAGAAGAAGATGGAACACAACCTTCACAGAATAAAACTTAATATGACCTTGACAGAATAATACTTAATACGATCTTGATACAATAAAACCTAGTATGACCTTGATAGAAAAAATCTTAATAGGATCTCGATAGAATAAAACATAATACAATCTTGATAGAATTATACTTAATACAACCTTGATAGCATAATACTTAATATGACTTTGATACAATAAAACCTAATATGACCTTGATAGAATAAAACTCAATAGGATCTTGATACAATAATACTTAATATGACCTTGATAGAATAAAACTTAATATGACCTTGATAGAATGACGTAATAAAATCTAAATACAGCAGGAGTTCACACAACCTTAGTACAAGATGTCATATAGTCATAACAGGAGTTAATGCAACCTTAGCAGTGTAAGAAATAATACACCTTTAACCGAGCGAGAGTTAATACCGTCTTGATAGAATAAGGCTTGAAACAGCCCGAGTTAAAGCAGTTTGTGCACCGTTAATAGAAGAAAAGTTCATACAACATTAATAGGACAAGTTAATAAAACCTTCATAGAATAGCGAGGAATGGAACCCTAAAAAGAGTTGATACAATCTTAATAGAATAAGAGTTTGTGTTCCCCTCACAGAACGCAAAAGGAAACAACATTAACAAGACTTAATATGAGCTTAATAGAATTTTATAGATGGAGCGTATAAATAACCTTGATAGAACTTTACTCCAGTGATTCTCAAATGGGGACTTTGGCCCCCAGGGGGTACTCAGCAAGGTCTGGGGATATTTTTGGTTGTCATGGCCAGAATAGGGGTGCTCCTGGCTTGGGGTGGGTGCAGACCACGGACGCAGCTCTACACCCTACAGTGTCCAGGACGCCCCACCCCCGAGAGCCAGTCAGCCCCAGATGTCAGCTGTGCTGGGGTCCAGAAACCCTGCTTTCATGGAATAAGAGTTAAGAGGACCCTACTCACAGAATAACAGCAAATGCAGTATCACCCCTCACCACCACGGCCGCGCGCGTGTGTGGTGTAGGGCTTTCCGTGTGCTCAGTGAAAAAGCAAACACCAACCTACTTGCTTCCTCACATAGGATGGAGACGGGTCCTACTTTTATTCACGTTCATGCACGTATGGGACCAGTGCTGATCGCTGTGTGGAGTGAGTGCCGTGGGACGCACCTGGGCTCCAGGACCATCTGTGCACATGGGATGGGAGTGTGTGTGTCCATCCTGGCCAATATCAGTGAGGTCGCCCCAGCCTTGGCACCACCCATCCAAACACTGTGTGCAGGAGGGGAAAAAACGCATTGACTTATGCATGTTTTATACTTTATGCGTTATTTTCAGGCACGACCTGCTAAGTTCGTTAAACAGATAAACAGAAGAAAATAGGCAACACATTTTAAGACACTGACAGTGTAGGGAACACTGACCTCTGAACAGCAACAACAAAACATAGTATATGTATTTCCTTGTGTGCAAAATTAAAACAACCCAGTCCCTGACATTGTGCCCCCAGGTAATCATTGCTGACAGTGAAGAGGCAAAGACTACGGTCTTGAAAACTCACGTGGGTTTGCAGGTGGCTGTGCTTGTCCCTGTCTCTTGGCCGGTGTTCTCTTTGGGGACCATAGGTTTCCTTCAGAGGGTGTTTCTTTGCTAGAATGGTTCCCAGGCTGTTTTCTTTTTCAGAGTGATGCTGTTCTGGGCATGATGGGTGGGAGGGGGTTCAGTGAAGAGCTTCTAAAGACAGATGGGTTGGGGGGCAATGCTGCATACACCCACATCTGCTCAGCCTCCCCCTTTCTGTGCCAGCAAGCCAGTGAATGGCCCTGTGGAATCCTGCATGTACTCGGCAGCTGCCCCGCAGCCCTGGCCCTCACCGTCCCTGGGGACCAACCTGTCCAGTAGATGGCATCACCCTGGACAGCTGGTCAACCCCACAGCACTTGGAGTGGTAGAAACAGGTGCTTCCTGAGTGCACAGGGGAAGCGTATTTCATTTCATTTCATTTTGTTTCTTTTCGTTTTATTTTATTTTGTTTTATTTGTTATTTGTTTTGTTTATTCTATGCTGTTTAAAATATTTGAATATTCATTTAAATTTTATTTAAACATTTTGTTTTACATTTTCAAAATTAAATTAAAAATTTTAATGAGTTTAAACATTTAATTTGAAAATTTTCATTCTTTAATTTTTTAAAAATTCTTTATTTTTTTTTAAATTTTATTGTTTTTAAATAGACATAACATAAATTTTACTATCTCCACCATTTTTATGTGCACAGCTTAGGGGCATTGAGCACATTCACACTGTTGGGCAACCACCCCCCTCCATCCATTTCCAGAACTTTCCATCTTCCCAACTTGAAGCTCTGTCCCCATCAAACACTAACTCCCCATCCCTGTCCCCAGCCCCTGGCCCCACCATCTACTCTCTGTCTCTGTGGATGGGACTCCTCTATGGACCCCGTATATGTGGAATCACACAGGATTTGTCCTTCTGTGTCTGGCTTATGTCACTCAGCACCATGTCCTCAAGGTCCACCCATGTCATAGCAGGTGCAGAACATCCTTCCTTTTCAAGGCTGCGTCATATTCCACTGTGTGCGTGGACCATACTTTGCTCATCCATTTGTCCGTTGATGCATGCTTGGTTCTTAAATGTTTTGGGTACTGTAGATAATGCATCAGTGAACATGGGTGTACTAGTATCTCTTCCGGTCTCCACTTTCAGTTCTTTTGGGTCCATATGCAGAATTGGAATTTCTGGTTTCTACGGCCATTCTATGTTCGATTTTTTAAGGAACTGCCATAGCGTTTTCCATAGCAGTGCAGTGTCCCCCGAAAACGCACCCCTGGCTGCCCATGGTGAGTACGGTTCCTAGGACACTCAAAGCTGGCCCCTTGTTTCCGAGGTTCTGTTTGCCGCCTGTGAGCTGGGCGTGTTTGACCTTCTGGCTGAGGCCCCAGAGCCCCTGGGTGCGGCGGCAGTGGCTGCACGGTTGGGCACCAGCTCCTGTGGGACAGAGCTCCTGCTGGACACCTGTGTGTCCCTGAAGCTGCTTCAGGTGCAAACAAGGAGGGGAAAAGGTAAGCATGTAGACATTATGTAAGTGAATGGGCATGGCTGGGTGTCAATAAAACTTTATTTACAAAGACGAGCGGTGGGCCAGGTTTAGCGCCCAGGCTGTACTTAGCTGTCCTCATTCCAGAGAGGTCTCCACATACTGGTGTGCACATTGGTACCCTCATGAAGTATCCAATGAGCAAGAAAAAATGGGGAAAAACATCACATCGGCATACTTCTCAATCACACTAAATTTATCCAGCTAAAGGGTTGCCATTCTTTATATTACATTTTTCTCTTATGGAATATGGTGGTGGTAGGTTTTTTTTTTTATGTCCTTACTTTGCAAAATTCAAAGTTTCAACTCTATGTCACTCATTCTGACCATTTTTAGAATTGTAGATTCATGAAATTGCAAATGTAGAGAGCATTGCTTGGGTCAGAGCACATGAGAACAGGAGGGTTGGCCTGGCTGTGGCAGCCGTGGTCAGTGGCCTTTGTGATTGCGGCATGGAGTCATGCACCAGTTGGGGTTCTGGGGTGCAAATACCAGGGATGGGTTAACTTGAGCATCCTATGGGTTTGACGGCTCTCAGGTACCTGGGTGTGGAAATCAAGCAGGTACGAGGGTGCAAGCCATCTGCAACCACCACCAGTCACTCCCTGAGAACAATCTTTGCACATCACATGTACTGGGGTGGCTGACCCTGAGCTTGCACCCCCAGGAGGACACCTCGGTCAGGAGACATTGGGTGCAGGGGGATGCTACTGGAGGTGGCGTCTGGCACAATTATCAGTTGTCCTTTGGCCCTGGGGCATTTGACTGGTGCCAACACCCAGCTGGGGACCACCCCATGCAACACAGTGGGGGCTCTATGGGAAGCAGTGTCCCCAGGAGAGGAGACAGGGAGGTAGGCTCAGGCATGGGACTGGCCATTTGCAGATGCTGCAGAATGGGGTAGCTCACAGTGGGGCATCTGCCCAGAGAGCACCGGGGCTGTTGTGGGCCTGGGTCTGCACATCCTCCCCAGGGTTTTGTTAAAATGATGACATTCACCGGGGTTGGCTGCCTACTGCTTGGCTGAGCGTGGCAGAAAGGCAGCCCCTGCTCCATCAACATGATTCCAGTTTTGGAGATCGTTGTATCACCAGTAGAGTGTATATCCAAATCAGGTGTTATTTTAAAGCCCAGGGATTGTATTATAGGGTTCCCTGTCAGCTCACTTGCCCTTCCCACCTGCTGCACCACACTTTCCAATGGGATTTGCCAAAACAGAATCGAGCAGGTGCGCCACCCTGCTCCTCGGGCATGAGGCCCCAGCTGTGGCTGCAGGCCTTTCGATGCCCCTAGGCAAGAATCCGCTTTCAGCCTTGATATTGCCGATGCTGGCATCAGCACATGGCAAGGACTTGGAATCTAACTTAGCCTTTTGTGTTCTCTGTGTTTGTTTTCAGCTTTGTACCAAAACACAGAGCTCTCCAGCACCTACCTGGTCAGGGCCAGTCCCAAGTGCCAGGCTAACATGCTGCGGTACCTGGCCAGGACGACATATCTGTGCTGGGGCCACGTGGCCCAGGCCGTGAGGTGGGCATGGCCTCGATGGTGTGGACTGTGCGCCGGGGCTCTCTGGGGGCTGGTTTCAGGGGGTCTGTGCAGCTGAAGTGCCAGGTTCCTTGCAGAATCAAACACGACCCTGCTAAGTCTGGATAATCCAGAGCAGATGTGAGAAACCGCCATGGTCCTGGCTGAAGGAATTCACGAAATGCAAATCTGCTCAATTAAGAGTCCTTGTGCTTCAGTGGTCTCCAGGGAAAGGGCCTGGGGCTGAGGAGCAAAGCGGGGAAGATGGCACACAAGACACTGCCCGAATCATGCTGGTTGTGTGCCCCACAACTGCTCTTGGGCTCTGCGCTGTGGGTGTCTGGGGCTGGATGACTCTCTGAGGTGGGGCGTCCTGGGCCGTTCAGGGTGTGGAGCAGCACCTCTGGTCTCCTCCCACCAGGTGCCAGTACAATCTCCCCAGTCGTGATAATAAAAAAATGCCCTCAGACATTGACAAGTGCCTCTTGGAGGCAGAATCACCTGCAGTTGGGAACCAGTGACATAGATGTATGGGTACATAGATGGGCAGGTAGATAGGTGGGTAGGTAGATAGATAGAGGGATGGATGGATGATCATATAGGGATGGCTAGATGGGTGGATGAATGATGGATGGATGGATGGATGGACAGATGGATGGATAGATGATAGATAGATAGAGGGATGGATGAATGATAATATAGGGATGGCTAAATGGGTGGATGGATGGTTGGATGGATGGACTGGTGGATGGTTGGATGGATAGATGGATGGATGATTGATACATATAGGGATGATGAATCATAGATGGTAGATTGATAGATAGATACAAGGATGGATGGATGGTTGAATGGACAGGTGGATGGATGGATAGATGGTTGGATGATGATAGATATAGGGATGGATGATAGATAGATAGATAGATAGATGATACATAGATAGATAGATAGATAGATAGATAGATAGATGATAGATAGATAGATAGATAGATGATAGTTGAATGGATGGACAGCAAGCCAGATGGGTGGATGATAGATAGGTAGGTAGGTAGATAGATTGATAATAGATGGATATTGATGGACAGGTATTGATAGATATTAATAGATAATAGATTAATAGATATTGATAGGTACAGATGGATATTGATAGATATGAAGAGACATAGATAGATATTGATAAATAGGTATAGATAGATGTCAGATACTGATAGGTACTGATAACAGCGCAGTAAGGCTTCTCCTGCCCCCGGATGCCGACCGATGAGTCCTGTGGACATCAGTGTCCCCTGACCGACCGCACATCATTTTCGAGCTTCCTTCACACTGTCTTTAGAACCTGCTCCTTCCTTGCCCACGTGGCAGAGCCAGGCTAGACGTGCAGCCTGCCTCTCTGAACATGTGTGTGTTCCGTCCCAGAAGGGGGTCTGAGCATGTGGTGACTGAGTCCTGTCCCCTGCTTGTTCTGTCTGTGGTGGGAGGTGAGGATGTGTGACCCCACGCGTGCGTGCTCCCTGAACGTGGCAGATCCTGGGTGACCGCGTCCTGCCTGTTTGCAGGGACGGCAAGAACCAGTATCAGGAGACATTTGGGGTTCCCTCTGACGAGCTCTTCACCGCCATCTACAGGTAACGCCGAGCGCCCACGCATGCAGGGTGACGCTTCCTTTCCACACACTCGCTGGGCGGAATACATGGGTCCAAACGGAGCAAAACAGAGGGACATTGATATTTAAAATTAAAAAAAAAAAAAGGACAGATTTGTTTGTGTTTGTCGGTGTCCTGAGCAGGCGGGAATCTGTCCTTCCCCCCAAGGTGCTCTACGTGAAGCAACAGTGATGTAGAAAAATGAGGAATGGGTTTTGCTTGGGCCAGAGTTACCCAGGTAGTAGGTCAGCTCTATGCACACACACGGGGCTGCTCTTGGCGTGGGGTCTGTACCACAGTCCCCAGGTGGCGATGCCCCAGTGGCTCATTGCAGGGTTCCTCGCTGGTCGAGGACCGGGAAAGGGGAGAAGGATGTGCACGGGGTGTGGAGTCCTCAGGGCTGGTGCCTGTGCTTTGCCCGGTGCCTCTCCTCCCGTCCTGTGCTTTGCCCATTTCCAAGACCCCTGCTCCGGCCACAGCTTCTCCCCTGATTTGGGTATCCACACGATCTTGATGAGCGTGGTTTCGCATGCAGATCTGAGGGCGAGCGGCTGCAGGTCATGCGAGGTCTGCAGGACGTCTGGAGCATCAGCGGGAGGCATGTGCTGGCCGCTTTTGACCTGTCCCCGTTCCCGCTCATCTGCGACATTGGTGGTGAGTGTCGGCCCCACGCATGGAGCTGTGTCTTAGGGCTGGGGAGGGAAGACAATGGGGATCCCATTTAGGATCGGGGACAAGGCATCCCGTGTGCATCCCACAGTCTGTGGGGGTTCCAGCTCCTCCCTGAACATGGCGCACCCTCTGTGGTTCTGACCCCGCGCATTAGGGCAGGACCAAGAATCTCTGTTCCTAGGGACATGGATGCTGCTGGGGCCCGGGCCACGCGGCTGTAGACATTGGCATTGCTCAGCGTGACAAGGGAGCCTTTAGAGGATGGTGGGGTGCAGCCGTCACGGAGCTCCTGGAAAGCAGTTAGCAAAGCCATCGAATCGACCTTCCCACGCTGCCTTTCCTGGGGCAGGCAAAGCGCCGGGTGGGGCTGCAGGGGTCCACCGGGTTTTCTGGGCTCTGAGGGTCCTGATACTAACACGGATGAGAAGGATGCCCACATCTTCAGCGTCTCCCGTGGCTGAAGGCTGGGCGTGGCATATCCTAGAGCAGATGCAGGAGTACTGGGTGTTGGTCATCCCTGTCCTAAAGGGTGGAAATGTGGGGTTCGGTGGAGGTGGAGGTGGGGCAGCCAAATCTAAGCCCTGGTCCCTTTCAAGCAAATGCTCTTGCCCTGACCATCCCATGCTGGTCCTATACAGGAGGCATGGGGAGCATGAACCCCATGAGATGGGGATTCGGGGGCTCCAGACACCATGTTTGCCTGGGTGCATGTTCTGGGGGTGAAGCCATCCTGATGTGGCCCTCCCGATGTGGGCATGGCTCCATCCTTTGAGCAACACAATGGCTCGCTGCTTTGGGCTGAGCTGCCTGGGATGCAGTCAGGCTTCAGCCTGCATCTAAGGGGCACCCAGTCATTGGTCCCCAGATCTGAGATGCTCAGACCATAGCCAACATCACGGCAATGTCCCCCCACCGTCTCGGGCAGCAGGACGCCATGACTGGGAAACTTGATGTGGTTTATTCCAAAGCGGCCCCTGTGCCTGGCTCGCTGTGTGACGTTGGGCACGTTCCGTGGTCTCTCTGTGCCACAGAATCCTCGGGTAATGGGGCAATCCCCACATGGGACTGTTAGCCCAAGTGCGTGTCTGCCTATGAGTCACACAGAATGGGATCATAGTGGTCAATGGGTTGGTCCAGCCAGGAAGATTCGTAGATTCAGGTGCTCATAGGTGATGATGGAGCCGTGAAGACCTCCATGGGGGGCAGAACCACATCCCCCATGTGGATGCCCCCTGGGGGTCGATGGTGGGCCAAGGCACATGCTGCCCACACATTCCTGTCCGTCTGTCCTGTTCTGTGTCCACTTCCAGGCTGTTCTGGGGCTCTGGCCAAGGAGTGCACCTCTCTGTACCCTGGGTGTCGGGTCACCGTGTTTGACATCCCCGAGGTGGTACAGATGGCCAAGAAGCACTTCTCATTCCTGGAGGAAGCGCGGATCAGCTTCTGTGAAGGTAGGTTGTTTCCATGGGCTCTGCGTGTGCACGGGGAATCATAGATGCATCCCCCGGGGGCTCAGGTCGGGCTGAGGATGCACCTCGGGCATGGCTTCCTCCGCCCTGCAGGCAACCACCCTCAACTTAGAATTATTGTTGGTGATGCTTGGAGAACGGTGTACAGCTGGATAGTTTTCATACACTTAGTTCTTTCTTGAGTATTTGGCTGGATTGAAGAGGTTTCCTCAAAATTTGTGTCCACCCAGAATTTGTGAATGGGGCTGGAAGAAGCAGGGAGGACCCTCCCCTGGAGCCTCTGGAGGGAGCACGGCCCTGCCCCACCTGGATCTCAGTGGCCCTGCCCCACCTGGATCTCAGCTGTCCTGCCCCGCCTGGATCTCAGACTTCTGGTCTCCAGAGCTGGGAGGGGATGAATTCTTGTGGTTTAAGCCGCAACTGGTGTTGCTTTTCTTACTCAGCCCCCAGGACATGCATGCAGGTGTCTAAATCCAAAGCACCAATGGATGACAGTACATGAACTGGGTTAAAGGGAAGCTCAGGGACATTTGCTGATTCAGATCAGGGAGACTCGGCATTCTGAGGCTCGGATGCTACCATCATGGCTGGGATCGTGCACCTGTAGGGTTGAATACTGTCTTTATGTAATATTACCAAACTTTGATCATCGGGGATATTTGAGGGGCCTTAATGTTCATTTTTAAAAACATCGCATTAAAATATTATATATAATATATATATATAATTTTATAAAAATATAAAATCTTATATTTTAAAATATAAGAAACCTGACCAGGTTTGGGGCCCCTTAAATTTTGCACACATGGAGAGTGCCTGACTCTCCTTACTCCAAACCTGGCCTCCGGGAGTCTTTATCACACGTCTTGGTGAGGATGATCGACTTATTTATGTTCTTCATCTGGAAAATGGGAGAAATACACCGACGTCAGAGGTTGGGGGTTCAGGCAAGAGAGTGGATTACTTTGTTATTACACAGCTGAGCTGGGCTTTTGATGTCTCTGCCATTGCTCGTGAAGGGAAAGGTGGTGGAAGCTTCCCGTGTGTTCTTCATCTTGGGGTCTGGATTGTCTCCTTCACCTGCTGCGCACAAAAAGATGGCCCACCGAATGTGGCCCTCGGGCCAGAGTTTGCCGACCCCTGTCTTTTGTCACTGATGGAAGAAAATTGGTTTGGAGAACTCCCCCTTTGCTCTGCCCTATCTCATGGGGGCAAATGTCTGTGGGCCCTGGATTTCCTGGGAGCCTCAGAACAGGGCAGAGTGCTGAACTGACCAGTGCAGCATCCAATGCATACTCTTCCCGAATTCCTGTGAATTTGTAGAGTTTGGACAACATTCGGCTGCTGGTTGACCCAGCACAGCACAGGGCTATCCAAGATTTTTTTCCAAAATTGGTACTTCTTGCAGAAAAAATATAAGAGTTGAGTGTTTGACACCAAGTATGCATGGAGGGTCCTTCTTGGGCATTTTTTTTTTTTTCCAATCAGGAAAACATGTATCAACTGTTGATTTACTTCAACTCATCGGACAGGAACTGCTGACCGATTGCTTGGGGTCTCCTGAAATCCATGGCTTAGAGAGCCGTTTACTTGCAACCTTAGGAAATAAGATAAAAAGAAAATCATTTTCCAGATCTGAAGGACGGAAAGGGACACCAAACACCATTCCGAATTTTCTTGTCTTCACTGAGACTTCCTTTTGTTCAGGGCTAGGTCTTCCTGTCACAGCTAGGAAGATCTGGGGACAGGTCCACACAGCTAGGTGACTTTTCCATCCTGGGTGCTGGTGTAGTCACGCGGGATTGAGTAGCAGGCTGACCCCAGGGCACCTGCCTGTGTTATAGGAGATTTCTTTAAAGACCCGCTTCCGGAGGCGGATCTCTACATCCTGGCGAGGGTCCTGCATGACTGGACCGATGCGCGGTGCTCACATCTGCTGGCAAGGATCCATCGTGCCTGCAAACCAGGTAGGTCATGGGGCCATGTGTCCACATGCGCTTGTGGTACATTCAGAGTGGGATTGTGCTAGAATCTTCATTTGGAGGCTAGGTACTGAACACACGTGACAGGTAAGCGGGGTCATGCTCCCAACTGGCTTCCCTTCTGGATAAGTCATTAAAACAAAGTGACAGTAGTACCCATTCTGTAACTAATCCCAGATAAAATTGCAGAACATGGGAGGCTCCCATGGTGTACACCTCGCTGGGTCAAACCCCTGTGTACCGTTAGGGTAGGGCATTTTGTGCACCTGCTCTTCTCACTGTGCAAACTTGGCTGGTGCCCAGGGGGTGTCCTATGTGCACGCATTCTACACATGAGGACGGAAGGCACCCAGGACAGTGGGAGAGATGGATGGGCTGGGGACTGGGGCAGCCAGCCTGGAAGGTGGAGTGGGGGTCCTCAGGCTGGCTTGTCCCTTGCTCACGGCCGCCTCTCCCTGTCCCAGGTGGCGGCATCCTGGTGATTGAAAGCCTCCTGGATGCAGATGGGCGGGGCCCTCTGACCACGCAGCTGTACTCGCTGAACATGCTGGTGCAGACGGAGGGCCGGGAGAGGACCCCCGCCCAGTACCTCGCACTCCTGGCTCCTGCTGGCTTTCAGGACTTCCAGTGTAGGAGAACCGGGGGCATTTACGATGCCATCCTAGCCAGGAGGTAGCTTCCCGCGGGTCTGCAGTGACCGGCCCAACTGAGCACCCTCACAAATGGGGGGTCTCTGTTAGCTTCCTCATTTCTGAGGGGTTGACAAGGGAGTGGGGGGCCTCTGCTGACTGTTGTCAACTGCCCATCACCTTGCGGATTTTGTCTTGTTCTGTTTTATTCTAGTCTATGTCTTCTTTTCTATTCTATTCCATTCCATTCTCTTTCATTCTGTTCTATTTTGTTCTACTCTATTATGTTCTTTGTAAAAAGGTTTTGTTTATTTCTTTGACAGGGAGACTGAGCAAGAGCGAGCACAAGCAGGGGGAGAAGGAGAAGCAGGCTCTCTGCTGAGCAGGGAGTCCAATGTGGGGCGCAATCCCAGGACCCTGAGATCATGACCTGAGTCGAAGGCAGATGCTTAACTGAATGAGCCACCTAATCTACTCTGTTTTATTCTATTCTATTCTGTTCTAGTCTACTCTACTCTGTTCTACTCTACTCTACTCTGCTCTATTCTATTCTACTCTATTCTGCTCTACTGTATTCTGTTCTGTTCTATTCTATTCTACTCTGCTCTACTCTACTCTACTCTGTTCTACTCTACTCTACTCTATTCTATTCTGCTCTATTCTATTCTATTCCATTCTACTCTATTCTATTCTACTCTATTTTGTTCTACTCTATTCTTTCTGTTCTATTGTATTCTACTCTATTCTGTTCTATTCAATTCTATTCTGTTCTATTCTATTCTTTTCTGTTCTATTCTATTCTATTCTATTCTACTCTATTCTATTCTACTCTATTCTGTTTTATTCTATTCTATTCTGTTCTAGTCTACTCTACTCTGTTCTACTCTACTCTGCTCTATTCTACTCTACTCTGTTCTATTCTGCTCTATTCTGTTCTATTCTATTCTATTCCATTCTACTGTATTCTATTCTACTCTATTCTGTTCTACTCTATTCTTTCTGTTCTATTGTACTCTATTCTACTCTATTTTGTTCTATTCTATTCTATTCTACTCTATTCTATTCTACTCTGTTCTATTCTACTCTATTCTGTTCTATTCTATTCTACTCTGTTGTATTCTACTCCATTCTGTTCTACTCTATTCTGTTCTACTCTACTCTACGTCTATTCTATTCTATTCTTTATACTCTATTCTATTCTACTCTTTTCTATTCCATTCCATTTCTGTTGTATTCTGTTTCATTGTATCCCATTCTATTCCATTTTCCAGCTTTCTGGCAGTATAATTGACAAAATTATATATGTTTAAGCTGTACAACATGATATTTTGATGTACGTACACATTGTGAACTGATGACCACAATCGAGCTAATTCACACACCCCACACCTCACATGGTAACTTTTTTGTTGTTGTCGTTGAGAACATTTCAGATCCGCTGTCTTAGCAATGTTCAAGTGTATGACAGTTAATTATAATCACCATCAACATTATGTCCATAGGACTCATTCCACTTCTCACTGAAAGTCTGTGCCCTGTGACCCCCATCTCCCTGTTTCTCCCCCAGCCCCTGGCAACCACCTTTCTGCTCTCTGTTTCTGTGAGTTCCACTTTTGTAGATTTTGCCTTTATCTTAGATGTGGCAGGTGCATGTCACAGGCTGCATTTGGGGCAGCACTGACCAGAGTGGACCCTGGACCTCTGCACTTTTTGCCCCCTTCACCCATTTCACCCACCCCACGTCCCACATCTGCAAACCATGACTCTGTTCTCTGCATCGATGAGCTTGGTTCTTTGTCGTTTACATTCCACGTAGAAGTGAGATCATACGGTATTTGTCTTTCTCTAGCTCACTTGGCACAGTAATGGCAATTTTAATTTTTCTTTTGGTGTGGCATGAAATTTGCCATTTTAACCTTTTTTTTTAGGTGCTCAGTGCAGTGGCATTGAGTGCATTCACATTGCTGTGTAACCACCTTCACCATCCATCTCCAGAACTTTCTCATTTTTAAACTGAAGCTCTGTCCTCATGAAGCATTAACTCCCTATCCCCTCCCTGAGACCCTGGCCCCCACCATCTTATGTTCTGTGTCTATGAACTTGCCTGTTTTAGATTAAATTGCAATATTTTAACAATGGATGTCTCCGTGTGTGTGTGTTTCCCCCCAGATTGTAACTTCTTGAGCAGCAGGTAGGATTTTCTGCCCTGAATTTAGGTGTTGAGTGGCCCAGACAAGGCAATACCCATCCCACAAACTGGAAAGTGCTATGGGATTTAGGGAATTAACACTGGCAACCCGTGACTTCAAGGTGGCTCATTAAAGTGTATGGTGCAGGGAGTCCAGCCAGTCTGCTTAAAGCCGAAATTGTTCCTGGGTGCAGCCATGCCTGGGGAGGTGAGCTGTGGTCACCCTGGTGCCGGGGTCCCTGATCTCAGCATCCGTGGCCAGTCAGCACTCACACACTTGTCTCCGAGACCTGGACACAACACCTGCTGGTCCAGATCATTCTTTTAACCGCCACAGGGCTGCAAGGGAACCCGTAGATAACCTTGAAGCTGTAGGAGGTCCCTGCAAGCAGGAAGGGCACAGGGTTGGCAATTTCTATTCCCAGGATTTGCATTCAAGAGTAACCTGAACTTGGGCAGGAGACCTGCCTTGTTGGACCTCCAGCCTTCACATTTAAGAGCGGGACTGGGTAATCTATAAATCCCTGTGTATCTTAGACCTTCTGTGAGTCTGAATGCATTGAAACCAGTGGTTCTCAAATGGGGGTGATTTTGGTAACATCTGGAGTCATTCTTGGGCGGTCCAGTGGGGAGGAAGTCCTGCTGGCATGTGGAGTGGAGACCAGGGACGCTGCTCATCACCCTGTAGTGCCCAGGATGCCCCAGAGAGTGGTGCAGCCCCAGAGGTCCACAGTGCCGAGGCTGAGAGGAACCGGGTTAAAATGTGGCCACACCGGAGCTTCGCGGATGCTCATGGCTGTAGGGACAAGGTTGGCTTTTAGGGACGTGTAAAAGTCTGCCCGGCCCTGGCTGGCTGAGGGCTCGGGTCAGGCTGATCTCACAGCAGGATGGCTGGAAGCCTGGCCCAGGGAAGGTCCACTTCTCCTTCTGGGGATACGGGGACGAGCAGGGGTTGCAAGGACCTTCTTCAGATGGTCCCAACCAGCTCCTGGTTGCAGAGTGTGTGCTTGCCGGCGTTGGTCCGGCCCCCGTGGGGCCAGGTGGACTCGCCAGAAGCGACCCTCTAGGACGCCAGCAGGCACCTGCTTTGGCTTCTTCCCCATTGCTTCTCAGGACAGCCTGCAGGGGAGGAGATGTGTGTAGCCTCCTCCTGCTACCACGGCGACCGTGGACCGCTCGGGATGGGGATGCCCGTCTGGCAGCAGGTGGCGCCGTGGGGCAGCTGATGGAACAGGCTCCAGCACCCAGCAAAGGCACCAAATCCTGGAGACAGCCAAGTGACCCCCCTCCCAAGAGAAGCAGCCTTTATTCCTTTAAACGTCCAGTGTCACGAAAACAAGAACAATGTCCAAAAGTACATTTTCATCATTTTTTGCTATAAAAGACAAATGCCAATTAATACAAATCATAATACAAGTTAGTCTTGTACATTGAGAGCAAGAGACGTCTTGCTTCCCGATGTAAATAAGGGACGGCACCTTCCCACCTTCCTTTTCTTAGAGCATTTGCTTCTAGAGAGTTCTTTCTCCGTCTTCTGCAAATGTGCACATTTTCAAGAAGCCTGGGGCTGGTCTCAGGGCTCTGGGACCTGGGAGCATCTCTGGAAAGTGGTTGAGGAACAAAACACCTTTCTCCCAGTTTGTTGGTTGGGGGCGGGGGATGAGCCATGGTGACAGGCGTCTTGCTCACTCTCCCACAGGATCTTCAAACGAGGGGGCAACAGAGGCACAAGCAGAACATTTCCGTTAATTCACATTAATCAGCAGGATGTTGCAGTCCATGATTTTTCAGCAAAGCATCTCGTGAGGAATCCCTTCCAGGACAGGTGCGCATGCAAGGTGGGGAACGTTGCTTCCTGCCTCCCCGCTCTGTACCACTGCAGACGCTGCTCTGGGGTCAGATCCCATGAGTTTCCTGCGTTGTGTGCATGCTCTGAGCTCAGTCTCCTTCCTGGCTGCCCGGCAGACGACAAATGAGTCTGGATAGGATGATCCCCCCCCCGGACCGGATCTGGGTTTCAAAGACCCATCGAGGGGGAATGACACCAGACCAAAAGGTTCTCATTGCGTTTCTCATTGAACAAACATGTTCCTGAGCAGCGTCCATGATGCTGGGTTGGTGGTGGGCTGGGGGGCTTTGCAGACAATGAAACAAGGCACACAGCCAATGTCACATCAGGGCAGGGGGCTGGTCAGCCACACCGAAGCCCCTTCTTTCTTCCTTCGCTTGCAAACTTGGTGCTTCCCCGGTTTGTGGAAAACAATCAGGTGCTTGGAGACATTTTAAAAGCAAATAAAAAATAATGCAAAAAAAAACCCACACACACACAAAAACAAAAACAAAACAACCCCAAACCAGTGACCCACACTACAACAGAGACGAACCGAAAACACATCATGCTCAGAGAGAGAAGGTGCACATAGAAGGACACAATGTACGGTTCCGTTTATATGAAATGTGAAAATGTGATGCAGAGAAGCTCCTCATCATTCACGGTCCGCCTGCAGCCACAGAGATGTCCGTAGAGTTCTCAAAGCGATTGCAGACCCCGAAGGAGAACATGAAGCTGCAGCTCCCACTTTTGTGGCTGGACCACAAAAGGGCCTATGGATGGACTCTGGCAGCAGAGCCCGAGTCTCCAGACAAGGACGGGTACCTACATCAAAATCTTGCAGGCCCAAGGATGAAAACCATGTCCTCCCCGCTACACGACATTCGTCTCTCCCCAAATGCACAAACGCTAAGGACTGACACCCAGGCTGAACACTGGTGTCCATGCAAACCCATTGTTTTTCGTTGATGTTCATTGGTTTGTTTTTCTGGGACACCAGGAACTCAACATTGTGTAAAGACCTCAGG